GGATAGCACTGGTTTACTACAGATGGCTCGCTTCAAGGTTTGGAAGGTAGCTTCTTGCTTGTCTGACCAGTTGAAAGGTACGCCTTTTGTGTCAAAATGGTGAGGGGCTTAGTTCTGAATAAACCTTTAGTAGTAGCCTACGAGACCCAAAAATTGTTGGATTTCCGTTGGTGTCTTTGGAATCACCCAGCCTTCAATGGCCTTGATCTTGGAAGGATCTACATGAATCCCTTCCTTACTGACTACATGACCCAAGAAGTTTACACTTCGAATCCATAACTCGCATTTGGAGAGTTTCACATATATCCTTTTAGCTCTTAGAGTTTCTAAGATTTAGCGGAGATGTTGACCGTGCTCTTCCTTGCTTCGGGAGTATATGAGAATATCATCAAGGACGACGATTATGAAATTATCGAGGAATGAGCAGAAGACTCGGTTCATGGAGTCTATAAATGTTGTGGGGGTATTTGTTAGACCGAAGGGCATCACAACGAATTCGTAATGACTGTATTGAGTTAAAAAAGCAGTTTTTGGAATGTCATCTTTCGGACTCGAAGTTGATGATAACTGGATCTTAGATCTATTTTGGAGAAGTAACTAGCTCCTTTGAAGCTGTTCAAATAGATCGTCAATTCGAGGAAGTGGGTATTGGTTTTTGACAATGAGTTTGCTCAACTCTTAATAGTCGATACACATTCTGAAAGATCCGTCTTTCTTTTTGACAAACAAGACCGGAGCTCCCCAGGGTGAGAAGCTTGGTCTGATGAATCCTTTGTTCAACAATTCACTTAATTGACTAGACAAATCCTACATTTCGGAGGGAGCTAACCTGTAGGGTGATTTGGCAATTGATGTGGCTCCCGGTACGAGGTCAATTCGGAATTCAACATGTCTCTCTGGGGGTATTCCCGGAAGGTCTTCAAGAAATACATCCGGGAAGCCGCATGCCACTGGGATGTCTTTAATGTTTACTTCTTCTTTGGCTTTATCCACAACATGAGCGAGGAAGGTATAGTTTTTCTTGTGCATGCACTTTTGCGCCTTGATGCACAAGATAAGACGAAGATTTGTGCCAGGTTTATCTCCATGGATTATTAGGGTTTTGTGATTGGGGAGGTGAAGGTGAACAGCCTTCTCGTGGCATATAATATCAGCATTTAGGGGCTTAACCAATCCATGTCGATTATCACATCAAAACTCCTAATATTTGTTGGCATCAAATATATTTGAAATGAATGGTTATTTATTATGAATGTGCACCCTACATAAATATATTTGGTTGTTTTGGTTTTACCATTAGCCATCTCCACCGTGAAGGCTTGGTTTAGCTTCTAGGGTTGTTGTTTTAGTAAGTGTTTGAATTTTTTACTAACAAAGCTCCGCTCTGCTCCACTATCGAATAAGATGCATGTGAAAGTGTTGTTAAGTGGGAATGTACCAGTAACAACCATCGGGTCTTGAATTGCCACACCTTGAACTAAAGTCAAGACTCTTCCTGATCCTCCTGCCCCTTGGTTGTTGGCCTTGGGGAAGTTGCATCTGTAACAACCAATTCCTCCACATCCATAATAAGTGTGACTAGCCCCAGCATTATTGTTGTTGTTGTTTTTGATGTTGTTGTTGTTGATGTTGTTGGGGTTTGGTTGTTGATTCTGTTGGGGATAAGATCTGCATAATCGAGTGGTATGGCCCTTACGGTTGCAATTTGTACACTGCATATCTATTCATTTTCCATAATGGTGCTAGTTTCATTTGTTACACATGGGTAGGGTTCCCGAGTATTGTCTGGTAGTAGTTGGTGTAGTCAAGGCTGGAGCATGTGGTGTTAAGGCAACCTAAGTAGTAGCAGCGTGGACTACTACGGTTTGTTGCCTTTTGGATGACTCTTGGCTTTGTCGCCCTTTTTGTTTGTTGTCTTTGTTTATCTTGTTATCTTTTCCCTCCTTATTGCCTTCAGTTTCCCCAACCTTGCCACCCTTCTTTTTGTCATGGTCGTAGAGCTTCTTGGCTAATCTTTTAGCACTATCATACGTTTCAGGGTTTGCAACTATTACATTTCCTTGAATTGGAGAGGTTACTCCCTAAATGAATCTTTCAATCTTCTTCCCTTCAGACGTGTTCATGCTTGGTCACAGGAATGACAACTCACTAAACCTAGAGATGTAAGCATCGATGTTGGAGTTTTGAACTGTGAGATTCCACAATTCCTACTCCATTTTCTGGATCTCCCCTTTGGGTAAGTATTCCACTATTAACATTTCTTTCAGCTCCTCCCATGGCATAATGTTTTCCATTGGAAGCATCATGGCCACCACATGACCATTCCACCAAGAAAGCTCTTGATCAACAAATGTGCAAGCTGTAAACTTTACCTTGCACTCTTCGGGACATCTGCATATCTCAAATACTGATTCAACTTTTTCTATCCACCACTTTAGGGTTCACACCTCCAGTTTCGTTGAAGGTTCGAGGCTTAGCATTCTTGAAATCTTTGTAGGTACAGACCTTTATAGTTCTGTGGTTCATCCCCTGATTTTAACTTTCTGCTCCTTGCACGTTACCTCCACCGTTATTCCCGTTGTAAATCTGTGCCAGTGCTCCCGTGTCCACAGTTGACATTGCTGCTTGGAACACAGCCGAGTTTACCTCCGGTAGTGTTGGTCTCGTGTTGTTTCCATGATTCGGTCTTTGAGGCATCTTTCTATCATGGAATGGAAAGATGTTGAGTATTTAGTGCATTCTAGTTTCAAGATTCCTTGAATATAGAATAATTTCGGTGATTCAGTTGCGCATGTAAATGAATGCATAAAATTAGCATGAAATAAAAAAATAATAGAACACATAGCAAATAACAACATCACGATAAAATATATGTACTTGCTTTCATTGGTAATAATCTTTTTGATACATAAAAATTTTCCTTTGTAAGGCATACAACACATGAAAGAAATAAAATTCGGCAGCGTGACGACTCCATGAGTAGTGTAATCACTTAATCACAAGTCGATAGTACATAGATTAGTACATAAAAAAGTAATCATAAGAGTAGCGATGGTAGATGAAGCTGATCCTAGTCGCGGAGAGAAGGGTCTGGTGGGGTAATCAAAAGCCAAAATATCGTGCCACGAGGTTAACCATCTCACTTATTTCCTTAGTAGCCTCATCCCGCTCATGCTCTGCTCTCACTACTCGGGCTTCTACTACTAGAAGTTGTTATCTAAGGGTGGCAACCTCTTCCTCCAACGTGCGCATCCGATCGGCGGCTCATCGGGTGCTGGAGGATGGTCCTGAACCATCTCTAGAGAATGAGGCTCGACAGGGGCTTTCTTAGTGTTCTCGTCTTCTTCCATCTCCTCATCAGACTGCGCGTACTCATAGTCCGTCTCCACGTACTCTTCATGTCCTAACCCTGGGTCTACCTCTTGAACCATCCCAGGTTCTCCTTCGATCAGTCCATTGGCCACTAGAGCCTGATAGTAGGCTTCATTAAGATCCAAGTCTTTTATAGATATTTCATCTTCTTCCAAAAGAACTTCATTAGTCAAAGTTGTAAAAGTTAATACGATTTCCAAAGTCATTACAAGTCCAAATGAAGATGATGATTTTGTTTCTGCTTTTGTTGTTGGTTAAATACATGTTAAGAAGGCTGAAACTGTATATAGTTATCTTCTAGGTTTAATATCTAGTATATACAGAAGCCTTAATGATAATTAGAAAGATTCTATTAAGCAAAAGGGTTTGGATTTGTTGAAGACTTTGCGGTTAAAACATTTTCTAGGAAATTTGTTCGTGGGTTCTTGAGAGATATGTTGAAAAGAGAAATGTTCTTTGCATCAACAATAAGGATATTCATATTACTTAGAGAGGTGTTTATGACATATATGGACTTCCAATGGATGATGTTTCTATGAAAATTCCTAAGAAAAGTCATTCTGGGATCCTGTTATTAAAAATTGGAGGAATCAGTTTTCTATTTCTCAAATTAGGCTTCCTAATATCAGAGAGCTTTTAGAAAAAAAACATTGATTCAAGTTTCATGTTTTTATTGAATTGGTTGCATATGTGACCATCATGGTTGATGGTCTATCTATGGGTACATGCAACCAAAAACTTTTAGAAAATTTTGATAAAGAAGTGTACATTAAAGATCTTGATTGGTGTGGCTTTGTACTTGATTGTTTTAATCAGAGCAAAAAACTATTGAAATTTGAATCAGATTCAATTCATGTCAAGAATCCTCAATACACTAATCTGGTTGTGTTTTTAGTGGTAAGTTTAAATTTTATATTTTTTTGATTTGTTTTTTCTCAATTTAATTATTAATTATATTTTGTTTTCATGCTATGTAGTTATTCTATCTTCATTGCACAAAGTCATCCTCAGAGTCATTTTAAAGGATATATACTGAGTCATGTTATTGGTCTCCAATTAAAGTGAAAGATAAATTGAATGAATCATTTAGTGTGGAGATTATGAAAAAGTTGAAGTCATTCAAACATATGAAGAGTTTGTTGATGATGCAATAGTTAAAGATTTAGAAACAGAAACATGATTATATATATATATATATATATATATATATATATATATATATATATATATATATATATATATATATATATTCATTTTTATGAAATATTTTTATTTTTATAATCTTATTTAATTGTTTTTTAATTTAATAAAAAATTATTTTTTATATTTGTAGATGAGGAACACATTAAGTCTTGCTAATGTTTTGAAAAGAACGGAAAAGAAAAAGATGAAAGAGAGTGAAGATAGCAAATTTGTTGTTATTATGAAAAACAAAATAGATAAAAAAAAAAAAAAAAAAAAATGAGAAAGAATATTCATTTGAAAAAAAATGAATAAAAGTTCAAAGAAAAAATTTTAAGCTAAACAAGTTGAAGGTAATTTTTTTTTCAATTAATTTTTATGCTTATTTTCCTTTGTAATTTATTACATTTTTTATTGTTTTGGATCATTCTGAAAAAGAAATCAATATGGTTCACGAGAAATCAATTAAGAATGAAGTTCCTATTGTATTGGATATTGCTAACAAAGGAAAAAAGAAAGTTTTTGAAGATAACACAAAGAAGCATCAAGTGAGAGATAATGGTAACTTTTATTTATATTTTATTTTTTATATTTCTATTTATTTTGATTTGCTTTTATATTTTGAATCAGTTCATGTTTTGTGGATAATGTTGATAAATGAGAAAAGTTTGTTCAAGGAAATATAATTGATGATGAAATGAGAAATAATGGTAAGTTTTTTTTTAAGTTTTTAATATATATTTTGAATTTTTTTATTTGTTTTTGATAAATATTATAATGTGAATTAAGATTGGATGGATATCAGTCCTTTTCCTCGATTTGATATTATTTTTGATGGTTTAATGTCTTTAGAGGCATATATGTTTTTGCATTATGTTTTTGAATCATATTCTATTTGATATTTTTTTTTATCATATTTTGTTTTTAATATTATTTTTTAGGATTTTAACAAGAATATTGATTTTTTGTTAAAAATTTATAGTTATTTGAAGCCTACCATCGATCATTGGATCAATCGTGATTGGAATCAGTTCCCAGGCAACAAAGAGATTTTAGAGTATGCTGATAAAAGAAATGTTGAATTTAACAAACTTCATCAAAATATTGTGTTATCTTGTTGTCCAGAAGTAAATCAGAAGGTTGAATTTTCCAATGATTTTTTGAATGTTGAAAAACAAAATGAAGATATTCCGCTTTGTCAGGAATTAAGATATGTTCAACTTGATTATTGTCAATGACACAATTTTTGGATCATCCTAGGGTTCAGGAATAGTTGGAGGTGTTAATGAATTCAAATGAAGTTTTGGAAGATCAGAGTATTGAGCTAAGAAAAATATTGAGTCATCTGATTATTCAAATCAGTTTCATGATCCTAATGCTATTATTTCAAACCCTTTAGGAAAGCCTTCTCCCATTTGTTCAGATCGTGCTTTGGTTATTGGTGAATTTTCTACAAGCATTGTAGGTCAAGTTGTTGAATTCAAACATGTAGGGGTAGTTGAAAATTTGTGTAAAGGGAATCTGTTGGATTCAGACATTGGTTTCGATGCAGGTTTTAGAAATCCAAATGATCCGATTCCTCTCAATAGTTCTCTAGAGAAGATTAAGGAACCTATCATTTTTTCTCCAATACCAATTGAGTCTTATAACAACAATGCCAAGCCAGGTAGACCAAAAAGAGATCTGCAACCTACCCTAGCACTTTGTTCACCTTATCATAAAAAAGAAATTGATACAACTGAACGTGTTTCACGTTTGGCAGAAAGGGTTGCGGCTTCTGTGTTTTTGGCTATACGTAATCCCAGGTATTTCCTTATTGATGGTTTTTTAGAATCTTAATTTTTTTATCTTAAAAGTTTACTATATGTTTTCATAATCTTAATTTTTCTAAGGAAAAAGTCTATGAATCTGCCAATGGTTTGCTGGTATAAGATTCGTGATGGAGTCTCTCATATCGGGTTGTAGGATTCACAAAGGTGTTATTGATTTATGATCTACTTTTATGAATGATCTGGAAAAATATAAAGGTGACATTACTCCTTCAAGGTTTTTCATGCCAGGCTCACTTATGGTATGATCCGTATTGTTTATTATTTTTTATTTTTTTTATTTTTTTTTTCATTTTGTTAGACAAATATTGTTTTCAAGAAAATGGATAGTATTAATGCACGATTTGTAAACAAAATTCAAAGTCATTTAGAAAAGTTTTCGCGTGTTAAAAGTTTACGTGTTAATTTTGTATGTTAATTAATTATTTTTATATTTTGTTATTTAAATTATATATTATATATATATATATATATATATATATATATATATATATATTACTTTTTAACATTTTATTTTTTCAACACGTATTCTTTCCTATTCTTAGGGAAGAACATTACTTTTTTTATTGTTTTTTATTTAATCAACGGAAAGATGGAAATGATCGATAATCAGTGATGAAAGTGGGTCCAAACCCGAACCGGATGGACCCGGATCCGGAAAACCCAGAACCGGTTAACGGGATTTTGTAGAACCGGAAACCGGACCAGTATATAGCAAACGGTTTCAGTTCGGTTCCGGGTATGGTTCCGGGTAAAGTGGGTCTAGAACGGAAAAATCCGGAAACATCAAAGTGGGTAGGTTGGAACCGGATAAAGTGGGTTTAGACCCGGAAAACCGGAATTTTTTGGTAATTACTTACTACTTCGTGGGTTGAACTTTGAAAATTTTCATATTGATATCCTGACTTTGTGTGACTGTAACTCATTGAATATGAAACCAAAATTAACAAAATTATAGTCTAAAATCATCATAAACTCCAAAATACACTCTGAAAATAACCGCATGTCAATCCGACTTTAAACGAATGATATTTTCATGTGTTAACATTTTCACATAATACAAAGTACAAAAACAAATAGCTGAAAAGTTGAAAATTTTCAGTTTTGATATCCCGACTTCGGATGGCTGTAAATCATTGAATGTGAAACCAAAAATGACAAAAATATGGTCTAAACTCATGTACAAACTGTAAACTTCAAGTTGGAAAAAACCACATGTCAATCCGACTTCAAACGAATTAGATATGAATGTTTTAAAACTTTCACCGAATACAAAAAAACTAAAACCTTCCAGCTTTGATATCTCAACTTTGGAGGACTGTAAGTCAATGAATATAATACTAAAATTGGCAAATTTGTAGTCTAAAATCATGTAGAAACTCTAAACTACATGCTGGAAAAAACTGCATGTCAATCGGAGTTGAAACGGATGAGATATGTATCTTTTAAACGTTTCACAAAAACCGGTTCCGGCCCTAAAAGTGGTTCTGGTTCCAAACATCGGTTTCGGTTTTTAGACCCGGTTACCCAAACCCGATGGGCCCAAACCTAGATTACCCGGAACCCGGATAAAGCTAATTTTTAAACCTGGAACCGGTTCTATATATTTCGGTTCTAACGGTTCCGGTTCCGGTTCCGGCTCCGGTCCGATTCCGGTTCCGGCCCGTTTTCCGGTTTTAAATCTCATCCCTATCGATAACAACATGACTACAGGGGGATCCCTACAAAATATCGGGGTTTTCTTAATAATTTGGTAATTATTTTTTTTTGTTTTATATTTATTTTTTGTTTTGGTTTTTATACTAATAAAAAATTGTTTATGCAGAAGAGAATGTTTAAACAACATTTGACTATTTTCGATCATCCTAGAGTCAATTCATTCAAAATAATGAAAATAGAAAGGTTTCAGATGGATTGGAAGACTAAAGACAATGTTGTTGATTGTGGGTTATTTCTGATGAGACACATGGAAGTTTATTGATTATTTTAGGAGGTAATATCTTTACTTTCTCCATCTGTTCCATGCCCATCAAAGTCTTAATAACTTCTATGTTTTTCATTGATTTTGCATTTTTTGTTTCATTGTCAAATTTTGTCATCTTCTCATTCATTTCATCTCTGAACAAGATCATTGTTAAAATCATTCACCAGCCTATCAATGCAGAATTCCATTGCAAATTCTAATTCCAGTAAAACAGTTTAAATCTCTTCTTTCTTTTCTTTTGTATGGACATTTGGTATTTTATAAGTATTCATGTATCGTGGTACCACATATTTTTTCCATCTTTTTGTCAAATATGCTTTTGGATAACTCTCCACACTTTCCATTCTTAAAACATAGAAACATTGTCTGTATAAAATTCCTGTCAATTCAAATTTGAAGCAAGAACAAAGAAGTTTTTGATCCGATTTAAAAAGTTTAACATGTAAAAAAAAGTAGTAAATAGTCAATATAACTTAATCTAAAATTTGTAATATAGTTGTAATTTATAATGTACCTCAAATTGGCCATGATGTTATGGATGTTTGCCTATATCTTTTAGTGTGAATGTTTTCAATTCTTCTGATTCTTCTAATCTGATTGACATGCAACTAACCATCGATTCAACAATCAATGACTAAATATCAAAGAAAACATTTATTGTGAAGTATTCAACTGCTTCAACTTCAAGTTTCAATCTAGTTTTAAATTTCGGTTTTTTGTATCTTGAACCATGATCATTTTTTCTTTGAATGTATCTTTTTCCTTCTAATGCAGTGTCAAAATGAGTTGAAATTTCAATCAATGCAAATCTGAGTTAGAGAGCAGCCCATAGAAATAATTTTCAACTTTAAATCTTAATGTAGTCCCCATCAATCTAGAGAATGTGCATTCTTTGAAATAAGAAGGAATCCATAAATCTCTTATTTTGTATATCTTGTTAAACCAATTGTTTTCATTTAAGTGAAACTCATCCAATAAGTCTTTCCATGTTGATTTAAAATCTTCTTTGAGTATTGTTTAATTCTAAATTAAATCACTCAACTTTTTCAAAACATTTGTTTTTACCATATGACTATATATATATATATATATATATATATATATATATATATATATATATATATATATATATATAGAGAGAGAGAGAGAGAGAGAGAGAGTCAAGATCAAATAAGAAGGAAATTTTTGGTAGGAAGGTAAGAAGTTTTTTTTCTACATATTTTTTTCGCGAACAAACAAAATGAATCATTAGATGATTCATTTCTAAGATGATTCACAAGAAAAAATTCTCAAAAAAACATCTCGATGATTCATTTATACAATGATTTTGTTGTTATTCACTAAAATTATCATAAAAATGAATTTTTTCTTAATTTACTTAAAAATGAACCATAAAGATGTTTTGTTGGAAATTTTTTCTTGTGAATCATCTTACAAATGAATCATCTAGTGATTCATTTATTTTGTTCATCAAAAAAATATGTAGAAAAAAAACTTCTTACCTTCCTACCAAAAAAAATTTCTTACCGGATCTATATCCTATATATATATATATATATATATATATATATATATATATATATATATATATATATATATATATATATATATGTGTGTGTGTGTGTGTGTGTGTGTGTGTATTCAGGTTCATTTGAGAACATTCTAATTTTGTGAGACCGTAAGATGAAATCTAAAAATAATTTTAAAATGCAAAATAAATGGAAAAAACCAAAAATTCTTTTTTTAAATATTATTTTCGGAACTTTAATTAACTAAAAAAATATAAAAAAAATCCGTTTTTTTTGAAAAATAAGTAAAATATTCTAATAGAATATTACACTGACATATTCTAAAAAATAATTTTAAAATGCAGAATAAATGGAAAAATCTAAAAATTCTTTTTTTAAATATTATTTGCGGAACTTGAATTAACTAAAAAAATAAAAATAAATTCCATTTTTTTTGAAAAATACGTGAAATATTCTAATAGAATATTACACTGACATATTCTAAAAAATAATTTTAAAATGCAAAATAAATGGAAAAATCCAGAAATTCTTTTTTTAAATATTATTTTCGAAACTTCAATTAACTAAAAAAAATAAAAAAAATAAAAAAATGTGTCTCACGGTCTCACAAAATTAGGTCGTATCACATGAACCTAACCCTATATATATATATATATATATATATATATATATATATATAATTAAAAAAACATTTATATTAAATAAAAAAAATATTTTATAATTTTATAGTAACCTTGTCATTAAATTTTTGTGATATATGCTGCATACACAATCTATGTCTTGTATTCTTGAATATAGCTGGTACTGTTTGTAATATTACAACATCTTGATCTGTCACAATCACATTTGGCTCTTTTAGAAATGCTTTTTGAAAACATGTAGTAACCATGAGTAAGATTCAATGCTTTCACTTGAAAGTATACCAGTTCCAAAAGTTATTTATCGTTTAATATTGTCTATGCCAGTAAATGACACAAAAAGCATCCTATATATGTAAAACAAACAAATGACAAATTTATTTAATCAAATTTTAAGAAATGATGCAAATTATTAATTTAAAATTTTTAGTAATGATGCAAATTATTTATTTAACGTTTTAATATTATTAAAAAGTAGTGATCCATTTATTTTTATACATAGAATTTCAAAAATATAATTATTATTGTTGATAGATTAAGATTTCATAAAATTAATGATTCTAAATACAAGGATTCAAAAATATAGTTTAACGAATTAGGTGCTATGTATTTAAATTTGATCTAATTTAAGATAACTTATTGTTATTGTTGATAGATTAATATTTCATAAAATTAATAATTCTAAATACAATGATTCAAAAATATAATTTAATGACTTACATACTATTTATTTAAATCTGATCTAATTTAAGATAATCATTAAATGATTTAATAAAAAAATTATTAATTCAAAATTTTCATAAATGATTCTCTATTAATAATGATTATAAATATGACGATTCAAATTATAATTACATTAAAGATTCAATTGATTTTTAAATATTTTATTTTAAAGTTTAAATTCAAAAAATCTATTCATAAAAAGCTTTTATAATTAAAAATAATGATCCACTATTCTAATATTTGTAAATTAAATAATTCGAAA